TGCCACTTGATTGGTTCATTTTTGCTTGGTTTACATATTGTGACGGCAGAGAAAGGGAAAGCGACAGAAATATCATATTCAGATGTTCGTTCATTGGTTAATTTTTGCCGGGGTTTCATATTGTGACAACAGGGAACGTGTTTTTATGTTTGACAATGATACAAAAGGGAAAGAACACCAAAACTCTGATTAATACTCGGGGGCTACGCCCCCTCGTACAAATCAGATAGCCTCGTGTTTCGGTGCTCTTTCTATTACTTGTATCAAACACTAGTTTTATTGTTCATTAAACAATGAAAGTTCAGAACTCGAAGGGCAGCCTGTACTTAAATAAATCCACCATTTACAATTGTAAATACAACCTACACAATTGAAAAATATCAAGACAAGAGTTTAAAATGGCATGGGTAAAGATGATATCATGTCATCAGAACCGCTTTTGAAACATTACGTGGTTAAACATTTCGTCTGAATGAAACAATAAAATGATCATGAACATAATCACTTTTAATTTGGATCAATGATAGAAATACAGGGTAAAGCCAAGTTATAATGAACAGGATATTGACAAAATTAATCTATAAATATAATAGTGTAAACATGTTTTGTATCGATTTAAATATACTCTTTTAGATTAAGTGCACTATAAACGACCCATGCTTATATCATTTATGACTTGTGCTATTTTTGTCACTTACTCATAGGCTTTGCAAAACGGTTTAAAGTTAGGCAATATTTTATTCGTTTTATTTTCTTGGGATAGTTTCAAGCGTAAAAATAATTTCCAAAAAAGAATCACCGTTGTTATACAAAGATATTATGCATGTTTGACAAACTGAGGAATTTATGTTCTTAACAACATTGAACGATATTTAAAAGAGGAAGAAGCAAAGTTAGGAAGTAATTAATATCGTGAAAAAAACAACATATAAATAACCATGAGAAAACCTAGATCAATCCCTGTCGTTTCAAAACATAGCAAAGTTAGGCAATTGTGTTACCTGTTTGGCATTTAAAGACTACAATATTAAGAAACATGACGTGTTTCAGCTACATGTTTTGACATGTTCGCTTTCATAGCTTTACTTAGCTAACGGGCGCCGCCCATCAATATTTGGCAAACATTATGATGAATTATGCTCATGTAGTTATATGATATCTCTGTCATTTAATTTGTCACGTTTTTTAATGTAGTTGATTTTGCATTGAAATTTAATTCAGTAAGATATTTCAGGCATTATTGAATCAAACCTACAGTGATTAATTGTAATCGGTGTCGGGATCTTGTTGTTTAACACTTATTCTTATAAAAATTATGTTTGAATAAGTTGATGCAAATAAATCTTCTTCAAACGCGTCTGATTTATTATTCTTTAGATTTAATGGAGTTATTTTTATCAAGCAGTGATATAAATATCACCAATTTGCTGAGAGAATTTAAATAATGACAATTTAACTGAACTGGAATTTGATTTTTTCTGTTGCTTTCCTTGTTTATATTTTTTGGAAGCTTTTTACCCCTGTTTTGGGAAGTTAAATGAAAATTTAAAACGGGAATTTCATAAATTAGGTTTTAAAAAATTTAGTTTTGTTCTTTCCTAATTAACGAAATAAAAAAAAAATGTCAAACTCGCCAAATATTTATTTTTCAAATGTTAAACTTTTTAACTTAAACCCTAAATAAATTGCTTTATCGTCGGGGTTTTTTCTTTTTTTTTTAAATAATAGTCAACAGCTGATATTAAAATAAGGGGTTTGCTCAAATTTTCCCTAATTGAAAAAGATGACCCTTAAATCGCTTATACTGCAGTATAAGCGATTTAAGGGTCATCTTTTTCACTCAATTAAGGAGTACTGTTTTCGAAATAATCAAAATTGCAACAAAATGTTGAAAAAAGGACTTGGATTGTTGATGTAATAAAATGGAAAACACATGAAATCAAGTTTAAATTTTATTACAAATAATTCCAAACTAGTAAAAGGTGGATTAATCCACCCTAAGTTGCAAAACATGTATTTTCTCAAAGATCTTATAGCAAAATAAAACAAAGGACGACTTATCCGCCTTTTTCAATGTACTTCAAACCAAAGACTATGTATTTTGTAAGGAGTCTTTAGAAAACAGTAATTGAAATGGCGGACTGATCCACCTTTATACAATTATCAAAACTAAAATGTCCAATTATAACACATGAAGGAGAACTAGTCCGCCTTATGTAATGTAACGTCAACTAAAGACGTAATATTTTTCAAGTAATCTTTAGAAAATGTTAACGCATTTATATATACAATTATCAAAACTAAAAACTATAAAAACAAAAAACGGAGAGAGTTTTCAAAAAAAGTTTTACAAGCTTCCTACTCAATCCGTAAATTTTATTTTATGTAATTTATTATGTAAATGTGTGAATTATAAATAAATTATTGTTTAAACTAAAAACAAAAAGGAGGATTAGTCCGCCTTTTTCAAAATAAGGAAAATCAAATACTTTGCATTTTTCAAGACGTCTTTACAAAACATAAACTGAAATGGCGGACTAAAATAACTAAAAACTAAACAACTCAATTATAAAACATGAAGGAGGATAAGTCCGCCTTTTTCGGTGAAATTCTAGATAAAGATCAAGAGTCTTAAGAAATCATTAACTGAAAGAACGGACTAATCAAACTTTATACAACAATCAAACTAAAAAATTCAAAGAAGGATTAGTCCGCCTTCTTCAATTAAACTCAAGAACCAAAACATAACAACTCAATTATAAAACATGAAGGAGGATTAGTTCGCTTTTTTTTATTTAACTCAAAATAAAGATCAAGGAGTCTTAAGAAATCATTAACTGAAATGGCGGACTAATCCAACTAAGTAATCAAACTAAAAAAACTTAGTTATAAATCGTGAAGGAGGAAAGTCCGCCCCATTCAATGAAACTTAAACCAAAGACATGATATTTATAAAATAATCTTTAGAACACGTTCACTGAAATGACGGACTAATCCACCTTTATACCTTGATAAAAAAAACTCAATTAGTAAATCATGAAGGAGGATTAGTCCGCCTTTTTCAGTGAAACTCAAAATAATGATCAATAGTCTTTAGAAATCATTAACTGAAAGAACGGACTAATCAAACTTTATACAACAATCAAACTAAAAAATTCAAAGAAGTATTAGTCCGCCTTCTTCAATTAAACTCAAGAACAAAAACTTAACAACTCAATTATAAAACATGAAAGAGGATTAGTCCGCTTTTTTATTAAACTCGAAATAAAGATCAAGGAGTCTTAATAAATCATTAACTGAAATGGCGGACTAATCCAACTTAATAAGTAATCAAACTTAAAAAAAAAACTTAGTTATAAAACGTGAAGGAGGAAAGTCCGCCACATTCAATGAAACTTAAACCAAAGACATGATATTTATAAAATAATCTTTAGAACACGTTCACTGAAATGACGGATAATGATCAAGAGTCTTTAGAAATCAGTAACTGAAATGACGGACTGATCCGACTTTAAAAAATCATAAAACTAAAAAACTCAATTATTAAACGCGAAGGAGGATTAGTCCGCCTTCTCCAATTAAACTCAAAATAAAGATCAAGAAGTCATTAGGAATTATTAACTGAAATGACGGACTTATTCACTTTTATACAATAAAAATAATAAAAAAACTCAAATGTAAAACATCAAGGAGAATAAGTCCACCTTTTTCAGTAAAACTCAAACTGAAGATCAAGGAGTCTTAGGAAATCATTAACTGAAATGACGGATTAATCCAACTTTAAACAATAATCAAACTAATTAACTCAAGGAGAACTAGTCCGCCTTCTCCAATTTAACTCAAAATAAAGATCAAGGAGTCTTTAGAAATCTTTAACTGAAATGACAGACTTTATACAATAATCAAACAAAAAAACTCAGTTATTGAACGTGAAGGAGGATTAGTCCGCCTTTTTTTTCAGTGAAACCCAAAATAAAGTTCAATGAGTCTTTAGAAATAATTAACTGAAATGACGGACTAATCAAACTTTAAACAATATTCAAACTAAAAAACTCAAAGAGGATTAGTCTGCCTTCTCCAATTAAACTCGAAATAAAAATCAAACCTTTTAGAAATCATGATGTGAAATGACTGACTAATCCAACTTTAAACAATAATCAAACTAAAATACGCAAGGAGGATAAGTCCGCTTTATCCAATTTAACTCGAAATAAATATCAAGGAGTCTTTAGAAATCATTAACTGAAATGGCGGACTTATACACCTTTATACAATAATCAAAACAGAAAAGTACAATAAGGAAAAACGTGAAGGAGGATTAGTCCGCCTTTTTCAGTGTAACTCAAAATAAAGATCAAGGAGTCTTTAGAAATCATTAACTGAAATGACGGACTAGTTCACCTTTATACAATAACCAAAACAAAAAGAAATTCAATTGTAAAACATGAAGGAGGATTAGTCTGCCTTTTTCACTGAAACTCAAGATAAAGATTAAAGAGTCCTTAGAAATCATTAACTGAAATGACGGACTAATCAAACTAAAAAACTCAAGAAGGATTAGTCCGCCTTCTCCAATTAAACTCGAAATAAAAATCAAGGCTCTTTAGAAATCATGAATTGAAATGATGGACTACTCCAACTTTAAACAATAATCAAACTAAAGTCCGCCTTTTTCAGTGTAACTAATATAAAGATCAAGGAGTCTTTAGCAATTATTAACTTAAATGACGGACTTATCCAACTTTAAACAATAATAAAATTTTAAAAAATTCGGGGGAATAGTCCGCCGTTTCAGTGAAACTCGAAATAAAGATCAAGGAGTCCTTGAAATTATCAACTTACATGACGGACTAATCCACCTGTATACAACAATCAAAAATAAACAACTCAATTATAAAACGTGAAGGAGGACTAGCCCGCCTTTTTCAGTGAGCTTAAACTAGAGATCAAGGAGACTTTAGAAAATGTTCACTGAAATGACGGACATTTACACAATTATTAAAAATAAAGAGTTCAGTTATGAAACGAAAAGGAGGACTAGTAAGTGAAAAAGCTTAAGCAAAACATAAATTGTAATGAAACACATCTTTACATGACGTGACAAACAACAAATCTCTTTAATGCCACCACTAGTATTTTATTCTGTTTTATGAAAAAACATTATCCCATAAAAGTGTCACATGTGTACCAACGAATAGCACCTTTTTCAGGTCGCATAGCCACGGGAATATATTTCATGCTCATGTTTCTATCCTGCCAACAACGTGTGTCTCTTTCAAGATTAGTTCAACTGTATACGTTTGAATTTTTATTGACAAAATAGGTACTTTTTGTGGTTTCATTTATCCCTCAAAATTTTTTTCACTTTTTGAAGGAGTAATTTTTTTTTCAAAAAGATAAAAACATGTAATACTATACATATGTTTAAAATAATTATTTAAAATAGCGCGTGTTCCGAACGCTTTGATAGCGACGTTTTCGACTACATGAGGCACTATTGTGATATTATCCAGAGGTACGTGACCAGCATCAACCAACTTGTTTCGGTCTGTACTCTTTTACTTCCGTCCCGAACAACGTTTATGGCATGAGTTGTAATTTTGTTGTTCTCCTTCCCTGAAAAACATTACTTTACTTTAATTTGATTATAAAAGGAAAAGACTGACTACGTTAAGATATGGTGGCGCAACAATGTGTTTAATGAAACATGTAATAATTACCTTATAATGTATTTGTACAGACAAAGAAACATGTAGAACGTCGACACTTATGACTGAATGTTTATAGATAGCATCTAGGGAATGAAGAATTATAGCCAAATACATCTGTCATGCTGGTAAAAACCATATTTTTATACCTTTTAGTTTAAATCTACGATCTGTTTTAATATAAAACTCTGTTGCATCAGTCTGATTGACCAAAATTTTAAACTGATAATATTCCCCATCGGGATCTTCGTCAATGGTCAATCTACTGGTAACCTTGACAACCCCTTTTCCTCCACAATATCCATTTATACAGCCATATTCGTCAGTTGATTCTAATGGTAGCCTTTCCTCAAATAAAACTGGTATCTGGCCTTCCTATGCATATGTGAGATGAAAAAAAAAAGTGTTCATACTAATTTAAAACATAAACGTTGACAGAAATTTGCTGGTTCTTTTGAGACAATCCTCTTTAGTTCTGATGTTTCTTGAAAAAAGAAGAACAACATTCGAAAATGTTTCAAACAAGACCTTAACCTTATTGAGTTGCATCTGTAATTAACTGTAAAGGTGCATAGTTCTTAACAATATTTGGAAATAATACAAAAAACTTAATACTTGTATATTTAATACCTTATTTAATATCGAAACATATTTACTTGTATTTACCTTAACATAGTACCATGTAAAAGAGACACTTGCACTAGGCGACAGGCAACCTGTCGTTACTTTAATAGTAGTAGTTGACGATGAATCACTTGACGACGTTATTGTTGTAGCGCTAGCTTCTGGTATCACTACCAAATTAGAAATTATAATTAATTAAATAAAGTGATACCAATCGCTGTGTTATATCAAGTTCTACATACTACATCTGTCATTTTAGTACTGCAGGGTATAATAACATAAGAAATGGTGTATTTATGGATCGACTCAATGTAATTAATAAGATACTCTTCAACATTGTTTTTCTTAATATGAGTACTCAGTCCTCTGACACAGGTTAACCCTTGGTTTTTCTTCTGTAAGTGTCACTCCCTGGCTCGACTGTTTCTTTGGTTTAATTTTTACTTGTGTCAACGTCGCGCCCTTGCTATTTCAGTTTGCCCTTTACTGTCCGATGTTTTTCTCTTTTCAAAGTGGTTTTGATTTTGTTGTTTGTTAGGGGCTGCGTTCATGAATTCTGCCGTGATCTTTGTAATCAAGTTTCAAAAATTAAAACATTTCTGATTTTTCCTTTTATTTGATTTTCAAGAAATTACAACGAAGAAGAGTTTTATGTACTTTTCATCAACTTATAATGATTACACATGTACAACAAGCAATAAATTATTCAAATAACTTGTACTTTACCTTTAATTCTTGCAGTAAATGACGCTGACTCATATCCATCATCACACTTAAACTGCTTAAAATTGTCAGCATATGTTATCTTGTCCATTGAGATGTTAAATATGCCATGAGCACTATCAAATGAAAATCTATAATATGTCCCATGAGTGTTACATATATTATTGATACATTCAAAAGCAATTTCTTTGTTTATTTCCCATGTAAAAGAAAATGAGTTTGGCTTGACTTTACAGACGAGCACACATTGTCCCTTACATTTAAGACGTCCATCTGAAGCAATGTCGCCATATGCTGTTAACGAAACATTCGCTTCCAAAACATCTAAAAAGAAAAATAATGTGTGAATATGCTGAATTTAATAAGGAAAATCAGTTTAATACAATTTTACAAATCAAACCAAAGCGTTTAAAAAGAAATGTATAATTAAAAATACTGAAGAAAAGAAAAGGCACTTCCAAATGGTCTATCCAGATATATAAAATAATTCAGATGGAGTGTCTATTGTATTCTAAATTTTATGCATTATTGCAGCATTTGATTTGTAAATATATTCATTTATTCATGTAAGAGTATAACATGTTTTTGATGTCCGTCATTGCTTTTAAAATAAGACACTTATCACATATCTGCCTACGGAAAATAAAGGAATACAAATTATATACTAGTTACTGTAAGTAATTAACCTATTTTGTAAATGATTTAATGGTTTCGATATAGCATAGTTAAGAAACTGAACTTACCTATTAACTGACACAAACATGCTATTAGAAACAAGTATTTTATTCCGCTTCTGTTCTCTCTTGAATCATCGGATTTCCTTAACATTGTAACGGTTTTATTTGTTGTCACTTTTATTTTACAATTCCTTCACTGTTTCCCACCTATCTTAAAACAAAAAACTGGTATGCGTTTGTTAATAATATGAATTGTAGCATGTGAATCTTTAACAATCTAGTTTATTTGTATTTATATGACATTTTTCGGCAAGTAATTTAGAATAATAACGCATCTAGAATATTTATATCATACAAATAGTTATAAATAATCTATAAGTCATGCCTTTATCGGTCTGGAACAATACCTACCTACAATGTTGAAATGAAAGCGAGGTATATGTTTGTTTTGTCAAGCAGTTTCAAAACAAAATTGTGTTAAGGTTTGTATCTCCTTAAACAAATATAATCATTTCATTCAGGCTCTTTAAATTCCTTGCTTATATGTTTATTAAATTTCAAGAAAGGATTTATCCCATCACAAAATGTATTCAACTAGTGTTTATTTCATAATGCAGTCTTAAAGCTAATTTATGTTACACAACTGAAGTTATTTATAATTCAGACGTCAAAGCTTGTTTACTTATCATACATATTTCGTCAATAAAACTTTCATTATCAGTGTATCTTAGTAGACCGATTTTTTTTAAAACCCAGCACAAACAAAGTGATTTATTATCCATATATTTAATCTTTTTTCTTTTTATCTTTTAAGTATGGTGAAACATTGCAGTTGTGAAAAAAGGAATCATTAAAGAACGCAAAAAAAAAGACCTGCAAAGAGAAAAGTTTGAAAAAAAAATATCGGATTGATTGTGCTGGTATATATATGCCTTATGTTGTATCTTAAAAATAACAATTAGTTGCATGTGGTCAAAGAGATAGCGAAACACACACACACGCACTAATGTAAGCACACATACATGCACGCACGCACACACTCGCACGCAAACACTTATTTTTATAAGCAACACATTTTTTTACTCAAAGAAATCGTACATTTTCAGAAATGTAATGTTGATAAATCACAATATTAAGCAATAAAGTACATTTTCATGTCAATAAAGTAATAATGTAAGCTACATCCCATCCTTTGCTACCTTCATCAAAACATTTAATAAGTAGAGTAAAAAACTAAAAACCCTATCCGTGCCGGTTAATCTAGTCATGATTCATAGCGTCAGGCAATTATGAATTGTGAGTCTCATGAACAGTCATGAAACGGTATGAATTATGAATAGACTAACCTACACGGATGAGGGCTCCAAAAGTGAATACTCTACACTCTTAATGAAATGTTTATCAATATAAAAGCGTTCACAGATTGTTCTAAAAACTTAAGAGCTCGTAAAACAATGCACCGCTTTTAAATAGTTTAGGCTGTATTGTCATTCAATATGAGTCTTGCTCTATTATCGAGAGATTCAATCCAGCCTGTGGGTATGATACTACACCTAGTCATAACTGCGCATGCGTAATTTATGGTATATTGAATAGAAATAGTTTTTTGAATTTAAAACACGTGCTTGTTAACTTATCTATATTTTTGTTTTCAATTTGGACCTAAAGATTTTACATCGTGACTTTAAATAACAAATGATAATTGACTTTTACACTATGTTGCATCTTAAGTAAATGCATTAAATTCTTAAAATAGACTCTCCTTTTCAAAGGCTTAAATACGATAATCTTATCCAGCAACTAAAACCTGTGTTCATTTATAGGAAATCTAGACTAAAATCATAAACATCTTCAGATATTACTCGTATATACACGTTTTAAAGGAATAAAAAAAAACACATATCACCTTTAAAGTAAACTTTAGCTATTACAGTTTGGGTTAAATACAAAATTTAATGTACATACGGAATTTCATTTGGCCAGAGAGTTTTTTTACTTGCTATAACATTATAATGTATCATTGGATCGAGCTTGATTTCAATCAATATTAACGTTTTCGCGTTACTGCATCAAAACAATGCAATTTCTAAAAAAGTGGTCAAATAATATGAACACAATTAAACAGAAGGGAAAATTATCAATGAAAACAATCCAGCACATGTGTTGGATAGTTTTTCAAGTATTATATATGCATTTTAAAGTAGACGATTCTAACTTTGATAATACAAATTATGACACAATACATTAAATCCGGAAATCACCTTATTTTTTACTATTTAATATATTAGCCCATGAAAACCTTTGTTGCTTTTTTACTAAGAAGAGGTATTTGTATTAAGAAAACTTATTTTTAATAATCAAATATAATCTTTTATTTTGTTTTCATTGAAATGAAAATTTATAAACTAATTAGCAAATTGTAAAAAGATAATGCCAATGGTCCAACATATATCATACATGTATAGAAGTGCGAATACATTTCGTTCTCTAATAAAGTTTTGATTGCCATATTCGGATCGGAACAAATATTGATATTAATATCATAACAGGTCTTTTAGTAAAATTAAATCATGAAAGACAACCAAATAAGAAATCAAAATACTATCTAAGCTATGATTTTACAAAATTAATGACAAAAAACTTGTTCTTTACGACATTACCATTTAATACAGTAATTGATTTTGAAAGAGACCAATGAAAGACTCAATAAGATCTTCATGACATGACTTTGAAATTTATAGGTTGGTGAGAAAATGGCTCTACGATGGATTTTAAGAAAAAAGAAACAACGTGTAGATAGAATTTATGTGTGTCTTCATATAATTATGTCATACTTACAAAGACTTTGGCGATATTCTGATATTTTTGTTGTGCAAGATTATAGACCCCCACTGACAATACTTATTATAAACTGGTATGTCTTTCACCAATCTAGATAATCTAACTACTTTTGTTAATTTTTTTTGTTGATATATCGTTACAAAATATCATTTGTATACCGCATGATATTATATGCACATGTTTATCACATACTTCATAAGTTCACCTGACTTGATTAAAACAAACACCAAAAATGTAAATTGCTATTCTCATGAATAAATGACATATGCATACAAACGCATTTACTTTGCTAATCTAGTATCACATTAGTACGTGTTTCCTCTAAGTCATGCAATTATTACAATCTAGAATTTGACCTAATACTTTATTATATGTATCCACTATAAATATAAAAACAGGTCTGCAAACGTTTACAAAAGTTCGGCAACCTGCCCTCATTTCGGGGTCCTTTCAAGATATGTAAGAAAGAGAATAATTTTACACAGCTATAGTTTCTAAAACAAGTAGTATTCTAAGTGATAGTCGAATTGTTATTTAGCAAAAAAGTTAATTAACAAATTTCTCTCATAAATGGTCGAAAGAGTTATTTTCAGCGGATTTTATAAATCTTAGACAATCTTGAGAAATCCCATAATGTCTGTGTCGTTAGAGAATGTACTCAAGTTAGGTTAATGCTTCTTTATTGATAAAGGAATATTTATCACGCTTTCAGGTGTATGCAATAAAAGTGGGTTAGTTTCTCATTCAAAACAGAAAATGTGTATAATCGCTTCGTTTGATTAAAGGTGTTTAAAAGATGATCAAATTTTCAGTGCAATCCCCTATTGAATAAAGATAACGAGGTGCCAAAGGGGGGTTCACCTCCTGCTGAAAGGTTTAAAGGGGTTCAGGAGACCCCCTCATCTCCAAGAAAGGTTTGGACTTGTGAGAGGCTAAAATTGCCTCAAATCAACCTTAAGGTAACGTGTTACTAACGCTGAACAGCCCGTGACTCTATTTTAATACATTGAGAATTTGCAGAACTTTGAAATTAGCTTTTAATTGAAAGCTCAACGCAAAATGGTGAGTCTTGACAATTTTGATGTGTCCCCTCGTTGCAATGGTACAGAAAATGTAAGAGTGATGTTGTTACAATTGCTATTGTCCAGTCAACATTTGTGCCAAGTTTGAACAGTATCGATGCCTTTGTTATAGTTTCATAGCAATTTAAACATTTAACAGGAGGCTTTTCAATGAAAACAACCATTTTTCACAAATTGCTCATGAAGTAATGGGTTAAGTCATAAAAAATTAAAACGGGATCATCCTTTGGGAGAATAATTTTACAGCAAAGCTACCTGAAAATTGAACACTTGGTTTGGTCGAGTGTGTACATTAGGGATAAAGAAAAAGTGCAAAATCTATCACGCCCCCTAGCACCGGCTTAAGCGGTACCCAATCTTTAACACTTTCAAGTGCTGGCATCAATCGACCCGAAGGATCAGAAAAATGTAACAACACTGAAGTGTAGTACGGATAAACTTTTAACAGCTGCCACACGGAAATTGACACCTGCTGCTTTGAAGGATGAATTTATGGAAGAAGAGTGGCTCTGTAACTTTCTGATTCTTTCGAACACATCTTCGATTTTATTGCTCAGCTAACTCGTAACCACGACCTAAATGTGTTAATTTGATTGATCGGCTTTCTCGTTGCTTCTTGTTTTCTTCTGAGCGACATAGCGAATTTTTCTGAGTTATACTGTTTGTCAGTGATAGAAATGATTTTTCAAATAAACTTGTAGAAAGACAAGGTCAGCTCAACTTTAACTTGCTTCGCTAGTTTTAGTTTCCTGACACTGATTTTTTTCATAGAAAAATGATAGGAACCTTTGCCCCAAGGTCATTGTTACTGTTCATCTGGTAAGTAAAGCATAACGACTAACTCTATTTGCTTTTTTTCCCAAATTCAGCTTAAGTTACCTCTTAAAATAGAGGAAAAAACAATAGATTGTTTCGATGAAATGTATTCTCTTTAATAAAAGGTAACTCTTTAATAAAACAACTTTACATACAGGGTGGAAAAGTGATATTTTGAAACAGTGCAAAATTGCTCTGAACAAGTGATAACGCAGAATGCAAAATGTCCTTCTGAATAGAATTAATTGAAACGGATACTATAAAAGCACAAAGAATACAAAAATGATAAATTACATTAAAACTAACGAGAACAATGTTAAAGCTGACATGAGTTCACTTAAACTTAAGTTTTGTTCCTTAAAATGATAAGTTACAAAAGATAATAAAGTAAAATAAATTTAAAAAAAAATTTTTTTAGCCAAATCTACACTAATGAAATAAATTCAAGTTAAAAGACCCATTACTGCATGAGCTTTTTGTGAAAAATAATTGTCTTCATTGAAAAGCCTCCTTTTACAAGTTCAAATTGCTATAAAAGATGTTTCAATATTCATAAAACTTTGCACAAATGTTGACTGGACTATAGTCTTTGCAACGGTATGCTCAATCCGAAATTTCCCGTTACCTTGACAACGAAAAGATATCTCAAAATTGCCTAAAAAACAATATTTTGCGTTGATTTTTTCGCAGAAAACTGATTTTATAGTGCTGTAATTTTTGATATTGGACGGCGCCAAAAAAGTGATCACAAAAAAAACCTTTCTCGACCGAAAACAAGTGTTGAGGGTCTGAATAGGACATTTTTCACCAGTGACCATCCATCAATTAGTTCTGTAGAAGGAGACGTTTATACCTTTTTTATTTTAGCTTTAGCGGCCCCCAAAATGTGCCAATAAAATTTTGTTAGCACATTTGATAAAAAGCTAACCAAGAATGCTGCAAACAAAGTTTGGTGATCATCACTCAATACGTTCAATAGAAGAAGATTAAAGTGTT